CTCAGGTTATAGAAAACAAAATGTTTTCAGTTATAAACGGTAATTCAAGTTACACAGGAAGGTTTTTAATCATAAATGATAACTCTGGTTAGAGAAAGAAAGGTTCCAGTCATAAATAAAAACTCGGGTGGATAGAGAAACCAAAAACATACACAATGCAATATGCAGATGATGTATTATAGAAGTGTACAGCTGAAACCTATATAATTTTATTAGTCAATGTCACTCCAATACATTTATTTTAAAAATTAAAAAAATCCACTCCTAACTGATAACTTAGGTGATAGAGAACAAAATATTTCAGTCATACATGATAACTCCGGTTATAGAGAAAGAATGTTTCCAGTCATAAATGAAAACTCAGGTGATAGAGAAACAAACATTCCATTCTCCTGAGAGAAAACAAAATGTTTTCGGTCATAAATGATAACTCAGGCTATAGAGCAATAAGGTTTTCAGCCATAAATGGTACCTCAGATGACAGAGATACATTTCCAGTTCCAAATGATAATTTGGGTGATAAATATTTTCAGTTACAAATGAGTCAATGATGGAGAAACAATTCCAGTCACAAATGATAACACAGGTGATAGTGAAACATTTCTATGTGTGAATTATTATTCAGATGATAGAGGTCAAAATGGGTTTTTTAAAACTTTTTTTAATCCTTACCTGAGGATATGCTTTTTAAAATTGATAGTTAGAGAGGAAGGGAGAGAGAAAGAGAAGCATCGGTGTGAGAGAGAAACATCGATCAGTTGCCTCCAGTGCGTGCCCCGACTGGGGAATCGAACCTGCAACCTAGGTAGGTGCCCTGACTGGGAACTGAACCGCCCACCTTTTGGTGTAGGGGACGATGCCCCAACCAACTGAACTCCCGGGCCAGGGAGAGGGCCCGAAGTCTTCAGTCATTAATGGTAGCTCAGGTTATAGCAGAAGAAGGTTTTCAGTAATAAATGGTAAGTCAGGTTATAGAGTAAAAAGATTTCCAGTCATAAATGTTAACTCTGGAGAAAGAGAGCATAATGTTTTCTTTCATAAATGACAACTCAGGTCATAGAGAAACAGCTCCAGTCATAAATGTTATTTAAGATGACAGAGAACAAAATGTTTTCAGTCATGCTAACTCAGATCGTTGGAAAAGAAAGTTTTCAGTTGTGATAGCTCAAGTTACAGAGAATGTTTTTTCATCATAAATGACAACTCAGGTGATATAGGAAAAATGTTTATAGTCATAAATAAGGTTATAAGGCAAGGATGTTACCTGTCATAAGTGATAAATAAGTTGATAGAAAACCATTTTCATTCATAGATGCCAACTCAGTTGATAGAGAACACAATGTTTTAAGTCATAAATTAGAGGGAGAATGAGATTAAGTCATGAGATTAGAGGGAGGATGTTTCCCATCATAAATAATAATTCAGGTAGTAGAGGAAAAAGATTTCCAGTCACAAACGTTATCTCAGGTAACAGAGAACAAAATGTTTTCAGTCATCGTGATAGAGGAAGAATGTCTCAAGTCATAAATGATAATTTAGGTGATGCGAAATGTTTTCAATAATACGATAACTAAAGGTTTGGAGGAAGAAGGTTTTCAGTCATAAATATAATTCAGGTTATAGAGGAAGACTGTTTTCAGTCATAAATGGTAACTCAGGTAGTTGAGAAACCAAAATTGCAATCATAAATAAAATTTTAGGTAATAGAACAAATTATTATCAATCATAAGTAGTAGTGTGGGTAATACAGGAGGAAGATTTTCAGTCATAAGTGACAACTCAGGTTTTAGGGGAAGAATTTTTCAGTCATAAAAGATAACTCTCGTGATAAAGCAAGAATGCATTCAGTCATCAATGATAACTCAGGTAAAGTAAAATATTTCCAATCATAAGTGATAATTCGGGTGATAGAATACAAAATATTTCCAGTCATTTTTTTACTCAGGCTATAGGGAACAACTGTTATGAGTCATAACTCATAACTCAGGTGATAGAGAAACAACACTCCCAGTCATAAATTATAATTCAGGTGATTATAAACAAAATGCTCCCAGTCATGTAATATCTCAAATTTTGGAGGAAGAAGGTTTCTAGTCATAAATAACTCAGGTCTCAGAGAACATAATGGTTTCAGTCATAAATGATAACTCAGGTTATAGAAGAAGTAGGTTTCCTGTAATAAATATCTCAGGAGAACAAAATGTCTTCAATCATAAATAATAAGTCAGGTAATAGAGAAACATTTCCAGTCATAAATAAATAATTCAGATGATAGAGAACGAAATGTTTTCAGTCGCAAATATAACTCACATAATTGAGGAAGAGCGTTTCCAGCTTTAAATGATAACTCAGGTGACAGAGAAACACTTGCAGTTATAAATGGTAACTCAGCTGATGAGAAAGTTTTCCAGCAGCGCAGTCACGGTGACAGGAGTCGCGGCAAGTGCACCCAAGGAGAGCCGTTGCTTCCTTTCCTGGGCTTTGAGGTGGTGTCCAGACGAAGGCTTCCCTGGCCTTGTACGGCGGGAGTGTGTAACCGTCACGCTCAGTCCTGGGGATTGTTTCCCGCACGGTGCCATTGCCACAGCAGGTGAGCAGCTCCGACGCAGAGCGCAGGTGTGTGATAGCTAACCTCAGCAGCGTCAGTTCTTGCTCATGGCACAGGGGTGGCGGGGTGGGGGCCGCTTTCATCCACTTGGTCAGGCCGACCGGGGAGGCTGCGTAGCTTTCCACATGTGGCCGAGGCCATCCGTCCTTGGAGCTCTGTGTATCCCACCCCTTATTCCCATAGCCATACTTACTCAAGGGAAGCTGTGAGTGTGCTGAACGATCAGGGGTGCGATTTGGGAGCACCGTCTCTGCTATGATCTCTCCAGCCCACCCCAGCATGCACCTCTACTTGCTTCTATGCCACCTCATCTTTCCCAGAGTTAGGGCCATCAAGATAGCCCCCAGCGGTACCAACCCAGAGTAATTCTCCCAAAGTTAGGCACTGGCTTTTCCACACTTCCCCTCAAAAAGCATAAGCCTGTGCCAACTCTCTTTGGTCCCAAGGCCTGTGTGGAAGGCGCCCAGGGCCTCCTCTGTGGGCTGGGCCAACAGGAGCTGAGGCTGCTAGAACCTTTGTACAGCTGGAGCTCCCAGGAACTAAATGCAGCATTTCCCCTGCCCCATGTGTCATTAGGATTGACACACTTGGCAGTTGGGGTGATCCCAACAGTGGGTCCTTGCCTAGGGATGAGAGCCATCCTAGTGGGGAAGGCCAAATGGAAAACTCAGAAAACCAATCCTACATGGGGAGCGGAGTGCAGGGTACACCCATCCTCAATGACCTGGCCCTGCAGAAACTAAGGACCTTGGCATTACCATAGACTCCCTCAGGCTTGGCTGAGTGGTGGTTCCACCCACGTGCCCCTGCACCTCTGTACCAGGTGTGGCCTTGTGGTTACAGTGTCCCATGGGGCTCAGGTCCATGGCTCATGCCCACTAATTTGGAGAACTCAGAAAGGACCAGATGTGGTCACATACACATGGATTCTTGGATGGTGCTCTCTCCCCTGCCTTGAGTTATAACCGTATGGACTTCCTGGGGACAGTGCTCTGGTCTGCATCACCAATGAGGAATGAGTGGCCCACCACAGGAACACCCCTTCACAAACCTGCCTCTCATGGGTAGGGCAGCGCCCCCCCATCCTTGCCCTGGGCCAGCTGGAACATCTAGCCTTGCAAGGCAATGTGCATCTCAGGGATTTTGACTGCATCCCAGACAGTGCCCATGACAGCCTGCCCAGGGCCAGGAGTCTGGGTTTGGTGTCCTCTGCCTCAGATTCCAGGTATGATGCCCCCCTCATACCTTGGCCCTTCCATCCCAAGCAGGGGCATCCTCTGGAAGGACAGGTGGATGTAGGGATGGCCCATGTTCCTTCTCTTTACACAGGTCTAGTGAGCTAGGTGCTGAGGAGGCATGTTCCCATGCTCTGCCCCACCCCCTCCCCTACACACACACACACACACACACACACACACACACACACAGATGTCCATATATACACACTCACTGGAACAGATGCACGTGTGCACACATACAAGTATATGAACACACATAGCTTGTAGGTGGATAGAGGGGCCCACGGGGCCTGAACAGGGACACATGGCCTCGATGGCCACCTCTGCTGGCCACTCTTTCTACCCTGGGGCCTTGGTGAGCCCCAAACTTCCTCCATCCCATCCCATGGAGTGGTGTCGCCCTCTAGTGGCCCATGGGAGGATGTATCAGCCACACCCACAGAACCTCTAGAACCCACTTTCTGGGAAATGGGCCTAGGTCTGGTAGATGGACTCCTCCCACACACATCTCTCATCCTCAGCCAGCACCTCTTCCTGAGCTCTCCTCCCCCTGGCTGTCTCCCTTACTATGTCTGTCTCTTCATCCACAGTGCCTCAGGCTCTCCTTCTCCTCCCCCAACCCCTTCCTTCCACCTGGGTACCTGGACATTGGGCATTTCAGCAGCAAACCTGTGAAATGAAGTTGTTTCATAGTCTCTGCCTACTCCAGCCCCAATACTAGGGCATGAAGCGTCTCACCTTCTGTTATGGTGCCCACACCCTACCTTAACCCCGTTATAGGGTCTTTAGGAAACCAGAGCCAGGCTCTGGTTCCAAGGCAGAAGTCACTGGATCTGGCTAAAGCCAAGGATGGCAGATGGCACAGACACAAAACCTGTGTGTGCCACGACCTTGGGGGTCCCTCCACCATGCAGCCTGAGAGAAACCCTCCCCATAGTTGTATGTGTAGTTCCCAGAAACGGGCACAGCCTCTGCTGCCTTTATCCTTAAAGCAAAAAACAGGCTAAAAGTTAAGGAATCATGTAAACAATTTTTAAATAATATTCAAAGAGGTTGGGAGTGATAAGAGAAACAAAATGAGAAAATTCTGGAAAAAAATGTTTTAATACTTAAAAAGCTATATAACAAGAGGTAACATGTTCTTAAAAAAAGTGTACAAAACACTAATATAAAATTTATTTTAGCATGAGATAAAAGCAAACATAATATTCTGTGGAATATACCAATTATTAGCCAATTTGTTTCACATCTGTTAATGTGAATTTTCATTTGAACTGTGATAACATTATTGAACAGAATGGCAGGGAGAAACACTGCTGCACTGCCTGCGCTGGTTATGAGGGGCGTTTGACACATGTTTTGAATGAACATCAAGGACTGCATCTTTCCACAAAGAGGACAATATCTGACTATTGTGAAGAACACTTTACCTAGAATTTTTTTCTTGATTTCTGTAACACGTGAATAGGTTTTTCCTTATGCATTAAATAGTCTTTGAAATGTCTGCACTAAATAAAACAAGCTCACTTCAGATGGCAAGTGCCACCTTTGATCTTGAGTAATATGTACATTTTTAATGCTATGACCACATTCTTAATTACGGCCATGTAGTTTCTCTTTTGTTTTCCTGATCAATCACAAGAGGAAAGCTTCTTTCTCTCTTCAAACTGCTTGTCCACCGCCAGAGACAGGGCCTGGAGGAAGCCCTCGATGGTGACAGTGGGAGCCTGAAAGGATATGAAAGAATTGTGGGGTGACCCTTGCCCTTGGGAGCCACTGGCAGCACTCACCCCATCCAAGACGCAGACATCAGAGAGGGCAACTCCAGGCCACTGTTCTGTCTGAGCTGAGCCCAGACCTGAGGGGCATGAGCACCTGAGGAGGCTTGCATGTGAACTTGATGTGTGTGAGCAGATAGCATGGCCACCTCCTCCCAAAGGGTTTGACAGGGCCCCACCACTAAGGTATCAAGGCTAGCACCTCCTACAGCCCCAGGAGCCTGTCCCTTTAGAAATGGAGGTAAAATAAGGCAGATATCCCAATGGTATTACTTGCGACTCCTAGCATGGCCACACTCTGCTGGACAGAGTGGGTGGCAGTGAGAGGAATACCCAGAGGAAGAAGACAGCTGTGGAAGAATTACCTGAATATACAGCGCATGAGCCAGAAAAGGGAGTTTTCTTAAGACGCGGCCGCTGAGGCCCTGGCTCTTCCTGTGAATGTAAACCAAGTTCAGGGATGTCAATTCCACATGAACAGTCATGTGTTTCAGGACTGGTTTCGCCACCCCTACCCCTGAATATCCCTTCTCCAACCCCTTGAGTGGGGCTGGTCTCCCTTAGTCCTGAGCTACTGCTCCAGGTGGGACAGGGTTCTTGCTGCCCTGATGTGCCACCTATAAGCACTGCTCTGCTCAGGGGCTGCAATGCCTGCCCAGTGGCATGGATTATCTGATGTCTTTATTAACTTTTGCACAAGTTTCTGAACTGCTCCCCTCTGTCCCATCTCAACTGGTTTAAATCTCTTCAACAGATAATTCAAAAATATAATCTTTAAAAATTACTGTTCCTGTCCTGGCCAGAGTAGCTCAGTTGGTTGGAGCGCCAACCCGTGCACTGAAAGGTCATGGGTTCAAGTCCTAGTCAGGGCACATACCCAGGTTGTAGGTTCAATCCCCAATTGGGGCACGTATGGGAGGCAACCAATCTATGTATCTCTCTCACATCAATGTTTCTCTCTCTGCCTCCTCCTTCCTCCCACTCTTGAAGTTTTTAAAAAAAATTATATAAAGATAATAATAATACTGTTCTTTATGCTATCATTCATTCAAAACCTTTCACATGTCTCACCACCTCAGAATAAAGTCCAAACTCTTTGGTCAGAACTCGGAAGTTCTCCCAACTTGGCCCTCGGCAGTGCAACCCTACCTGAGGTCCCTGCACACATAGTGCCTGTGGCCTTGAAGATTTCTCTCTAGTTTATCTGAATTCTAACTGTCCTTTGAGGCTCTGCTCCGTTTTCCCACCTTCCCTTGATCCCCAAAGCCATCTGAAAACTTGAAAGCACTGGACCTCCATCCTCTGGTCCAGGAACCTGGGGCCTAGGGGGCTCTCAAAGCTTCCCCTGCCACTGTATGACTCAGGATTCAACTCCCTGTCCTCTGACCCCCAAACGACTACCCTAGATGGCTACAATCAATTATAACTCCCTATTCCTACAGCAAATGGACTTTTCTTGGTTACAAAAATGAGGTCCATCCACACCTTGAAATTTCACTCAAAAGGAGGCTCAACTTTGACACGTTGTTTTCAATGAAGCCAATCATCTCCAGCTCGCGGAGGGTCAGCAGCTGCTGGCGAGGGTATATGATCTGACACTGGGATGATAGAGGGCAGAGTGCATATGGTCAGCAATAGTACAGCGCTGAGACAACAAACATAAACCACATCACATCTTATAAAAATGCAAATAGGGTCATTTAACAAGCACAGACAACCAGGAAACAGACTGGTTTCCCCTCTCAGGGGTGCCCGTGTGCACGCACATGCGCACACTCCACCCCTTCCCAACACACATCTCCCTGATTCTTCAAACAAAGGCAAGAATACAAACAAAACGTGTCTCAGAAACCAGCATCGACCCAGCCTCTTCTATGCCTTTGGCCAAAATGTATCCTCACCACGTGACAACATGGGAGTCCAGTCTGGTATTCAGTTTCAAGGGTGTGACACCACCCATAGATGGCAGAGCTGGGCTCTGGGGCCAGGACTTCGCCTGCCTTTCAAAAAGGGTTTGTGCTTGTTGTTTTTAAGATAAGACTCTCATTTGGTGGAATGACACAGACCCAGGATCTGAGTCCAAGTTCACCTTGTAGACTTTGTCACAAGATCTGCATGTTGGACGCACTTTGCCAAGTAGCCACACTGAACTGTTGAACTGCGACAGTGCCCACTACTGAATGAATTTTAACATGAACTGTTTCAATTTGGGAACCAGGAGAGAGGAGAAAGAAGAAATGGCTTCCTTCACACATTTTGGACGTTTGGTGAGGGTCATGGATAAAATTAAGAAATAGAGTTTGTGTTTGATATATTCTGACCCCGCCTAAGTGACTGACTACCTCAGGCTCCCTGCAGCCTCCCAAGCTGCCCCTGCCCCCCCTCCATTGACAGGCGCTGTCCTGCAGACTCGTGCAAGAATGGCAGACCTCAGGCTCTTAACAAAGAGGACCACAATCATGTCAGTCTTCAGGACCAGCCAGCTCTCCACTACAGCACTGGAATAGCTTAACTCCTATAATCTGTACAAGAAACTACATCTGCCCACATGCTCAGCTCCCAGAAAAAGTCCGTGCACTTGGCTAAATCTTAGAACACGCCCTGGATTCGCAGCACAGTGTGAGTATGACCACACTGAAGGCACTCAGTGATCTCCAGCAGGATCTGCCATCACACTGGCTGCTTGGCAGCAGTACTACATTACATCATTTCTGACGGCTACTTGGGGTCTCAAGTTAAAGCTCCATGGAGCCCCTCTCCCACACCACAGAAAAGTAGGATGGAAAGTGCCAAGCTAACTGAGACCAGTGCTGAGACTGGCTCTCCTGTCCCTGTCACAGAGGCTGTGTCATCCTTTTTGAGGATGTTGGAGTCCCACATCAGTGGTGCCAGGAGGTGGCTGCAGGGTGAGGGGGAGGTGTTGATTCCATCCCATCAGCAATTACAATGATGCCATTACTATGATCACCATGTAAATGCCCATTTGTTGACTGGCTTGGTAACTGCCCATGTTCCCCGAGTGCCCAGAGCTCCTGGCAGCAGGCACAGGTCAGGCCTGTTAGACTGAATTATGAGAGACTGTGAACATTACTGTGCTTACTGCTGCTGTGCTCATTGCTATCACTAGAACATGGGACCAAATGGACATGAACACTATAGCCGATGATAGGTTATGAGTGTCTGTCTGGCCAGGATTACTTCTCTGTGAACTATGACCTCCAGTTAAATAATCTCCCTCTCAACTATGACCTCCAGTCAGATGAATTCCCTATGAACAACCTACAGTCAGATGACCTCATTGCGAAGGACCTTCCAGTCAGGATGACCTCCCTGTGAATAATGACCTCCCTGTGAATAATGACCTTCCTGTGAATAATGACCTCCCTGTGAATAATGACCTTCCTGTGAATAATGACCTCTAGTCGGATGGCCTCCCTGTGAACAACCTCCAGTCAGACGACCTCACTGAGAAGGACCTTCCAGTCCGGATGACCTCCCTAGGATCCAGGACCTCTACTTTTCTTCTTTCAGGGGAGGAAAAGAAGGCCCAGAGAATAGGTCACTTGCAAAGGCCATTAGAACCAGAACTTGCCAGCAATACTGACCACAGCCCACACCTCTCCCACTCACTCATCACCTGCAGGTAGATCAAACATCCATGATGATCATTTTGTGCAGAAAGAGCAAAAATATTGAGTCAGTGGCCATAATTTTGATTACTACCGCAACCTACCAGATACAACTAAAAATTTCAATCTAAGAAAATGGTTAATGCCATGTCAAAATACCTTATTCCATACTGGAATCAACTATTTTAAGCTATGTCAGGGAATTAAGAAAATGTAAGAAATCTACTGGTTAGCAGAGAGGAAAAATAAATCAAAGTACCTTCATCAGTTCTTCCAAACAGGAGAGGTAGATTTTGAAGATGGCTGCTGCAGAGGGTGGCCCAATATACTGCCTAATGTCAGCCCTGTCCACGAAGGCCACGTCAATCCTCTCCGTAATGTTGGAAGTGGTCAGTATTACCACATTGGAGTGCCTGGAGGCAGAGAAGTGAGGACCAATCACCCTGTGCCTGTAACTCGATTATACCCTACCCTACACAGGGATTATCAGGAGATGCCCTTGAAATTTCTGGGCATTTAGCTGCTGTTCAGCTAGCTACACAGCTAGCTGTCCCAATACCAACCTGCATTGCCTCCTGAGGTCCTGCAGCTCTGAGGTCCTGGCCACAACACAGCGTGCCAGGCCAACTCTTCAGGGGCCTTTTCTCTGGTCGATTCTCTGCTTCTGGAAATCTCTCCTAGACACCTGCTGGCTACTCCCTTACTATTTTCAACTGCAGTAAAGGTCTAATCTCTGTAGAGCATCCCCGACCACCCCATCTCCTGAACTATGGCCCCCTTGCACCCATACCCCTGCCTGCCTGGCTAGGCATAGCCACACAACTGCTCATTACCACACAGCTCTCATGGATACACCATGAAGCTGAATTATTTATCCCTTTTACCAGCTGCTTTCCCCTCTAGCTTCCAAATTCCAAGAGAGCCACCATCGCCACTCTGCTTACCAACCTAGGCTGGCACAGGGTGCCCTGGGGAGCATGCTTCCCAGCCTGGTGGACTTGGGCACAGGGGATGTGGCAGTGCTGCCCTCAAGGGCCTGTGGTCAGCATACAGGTGGTCCACAGGCAGCTGTGTGGCCAGGAAGCACCTAGGAAGATCAGTTTCACCTAGACTCTGGCAACAGGTATACAGCCCTCCGCAGAGTGAACAGGACAAGCCAAATGAGGGCAGGGATGGGAGCACAGGGGTCCTAGGAGCCTGGCAGAAAGAACTGGTATAGAGGCCGGGTGAGCAGGCTGCTCAGTGTAGTACCCAAGTGGGGATGCAGAAGGAGCAAGTAGCTGGAAACATGTCTCAGGGTGGGCTGTTATGAAGGGTATGATCCACACAAAAGCAGGTGTGCAATGATTACCCAGAGAGGGACCTAAACTAGGATGTAAAGATGTGAGGCAAGGGAGGTGAGAAACAGAGGCACATGTGTCTCTGCTCCTTCCTGAGCCTACGTACCCTGATGATAGAAGTGTCAGGGTGACCCCATGTCATGGCCTGAGTGGTGGGTGCATAGCATGGCTGTCAGTGTCATGGGAGCATGGGCATTTGGGGTTTCAGGGACAAATGAGCAGCTTGGGAGCGTGTCTGATGTTTGGTCATGGTGGATACATAGATATATGGCGAGGATTTGCTCATCAGAACTATGAGTGATGCTAGAGGACAGAAGGCTATGAACAGGCTATGCAGGGACCCCATGAAGAGAGGGTGGGGAAACACCAGCAGCAGAAACTGAGGTATCAGGAGAGTGAAGTCAAGGGAGTCAAATGCTGTGGAAATTTCCAGGAAGAGAAAACTGAACACTGAGGTGAACGAGGGGTAGTAGCACGGGTAGAAATTAGACTGAGGAGCAAGTCGGGGAGGGACAAAAGTAGCAACGAGGGGCTACACCTTCCACAGGTTTGCCTATAGAAGGGCGAGAAGCAAGAGGCTTCTTTCTGCAGCTGACCCCAACAGACAACTACATGTCCAAGAAGCTAGAGATATCCTCTATTGTAAAACAATGGTAAAGGCTGGGATAAGCACAATTTAGTTCACTGTCATTCCACATTCAATAAGCTAGCTTCTGAGTGATGGAGCCCTGGCACCCTGGAAGCAGAGAGACACTGGAGAACAAACATGAGGACTCTGGTTGACAGAGGGAGCACTGAAGTCCTGCAAAGAATAAGTGGAGGTTCTGGTTTGGACATTACCTCCTTGTGAGTCAGGCTAGGAGTTGTTTTCTAAAGCTAGAACAGCTTTGGGAACATTGAGCACAGGCCCTGGACCTGTAAGACTAGACTATGAGGACATGAAATCTGGCCCTAAGAAGGGCAAGCAAAGGATGCTTCCTCTGCCCAGTGCCAGCCCCTTCAACCATGACACACCTAGTTGTACTGGAGCTGATGCATGAGTGCAGCAGTTTACTCTTCATTTTATGCTTCTCTGTAGGGTATGAGTCTTCACCATGCCCAAGTTGTTTTACATTTTTAATACTCTAATAAAGTGCTTAATTTCTGAAAAATGCATTTAGTATATGCTGCCTCAAGAGTGGAAAAAGAACAAATACTCAATGCCAGAGGCATTTTTAGTTACGAGAGCTGGAATAGGGTCTAGAAGTGTGTGATACTCACACATCTTCTTTTCTTTTTAAAATATATTTGATTTTGAGAGAGAGAAAGGGAAAGAAACATCGATTTGCTATTCTACTCAGTTATGCATTCATTGGTTGATTCTTATCTGAGCCCTGACCAGGGATTGATTTGCAACCTTGGCGTATCAGGACAACGCTCTAACCAACTGAGCTACTTGGCCAGGCCCTCATACATCTTCTCTGTGACTTCTCACATAAGGTCACTGTGTGCCAGAGACTTTACAGCCATGCGCCGCACAACTATGTTTTGGTCAGCAACGAACGGCACATACAATGGTGGTCTCATAAGATTATAATGGGTTAGAAGCAAAAGGTTTATTTGCAATGTTAAAAGAAAAAGCTGGACCTGACTACAATGTTGAATTTACTGCTAGCTGGCTGGTTTAAATAGACGAGAAGGCTCAACAAGCTGTCATTCCACTGTGCAGCTGCCCGTGGCTGGGGCCCCAGAGTTGGCAGACAGGGGAGCCCGGGAGCCCACCCACCCCTGCGCGCGCGCGCACACACACACACACACACACACACACACACTCACTTCCTTTCTGATTCTCCTTTTTATTATCTCTTGTCTCAGGCTTTATCTCTCTGGGTCTCTTTCACTCTCTGCTCCCCCTTTGTCTCCCCTTTTCCTTCTCTCCTCCTGACATCTACTCTCCCTCTAGTGCTTCCCTCCACAGCCCTTCCCCTGCTCCCACAACATGCATGTACGCATACACTGTCTTTTATACCGTATTTTTACTGGGCCTTTTCTACATTTAGGTTATGTTCAAACATACAAATATTTACCATGTGTTACAGCTGCCTACAGTGCTCGGTACAGTAGCATGCTGCACAGGTTTGTAGGTGAGGAGCAACAGGCTGTGCCACACAGCCTAGGCGTGCAGTGGGCTATGCCATCTGGGATTATGTAAGTGCCTCTATGATGGTCCCACAACAACAAAATTACCTAACAATGCATTTTTCAGAATGTACCCCCATCGTTAAGTGGCACATAACTGTATTACCTTTTAATTTGATCGATTTGGGTCAAAACAGCATTGACCACACGGATGGCATCTGAAGGCTCGGTGCCTGCCCTGCAGGCATTGCGGGAAGCTGTGAGGCTCTCCACCTGTGGGGACAGAGCAATGGATAAAAAATAATAGTACCTGGCCCCACAGGGCAGTCACAGAACAAGTCAACTGAGCGAGAGAAGGAACAAATGAATGGGTGTCAGGAGTCCGGGTGTGCCAGGAGCTTAACATGTGGGATGCCAAGGACAGGACTGCATGAGACAGCGACTGCCTGATGGAAGCTGGGCTGAGCAAGGGGCTGGTTGCACCCCAGCAGCAGTAAGAAGGCATTCAGACTTGAATTTCCTCCACCACAGGTCTGCCTACCTCATCAATCAGCACGAACACCAGAGCGTCTTTGTCATCAATTAGATCCTGGATCTTCTGGAACATCTTAGTTACTAGCTTGCCACTCTGGAACCAAAATACTCTTAGTGTTGACCTGTACTAATCACGCTGCCTGGTATACACATGTCCCCACCAGGTATCACTCTCACCCCAGGTGCCCCCGCAAGCCTACCATCTCCTGACAGCCCTCAGAGAACTCCCTAAATCAGAGAAGCCAGATCTGCAGGGGTGGAGGTCAACCCAAATGCCCTCTCTCCCTGCTTCATGTGACAGGACACTAAGACTTGAGCCCACACTGACTCCTGTCACGGCCACACGGCTCACCTGTCTGCCTTCCTCTTACCTCCCCTTTCCCGGCTGTCCCCATGACTGGGAATGAGATGAATTATAGGTGCAAACATGCAAACCAGCTGGGTTTACAGATGCTCCCTGTCCCCACTCCCATCCACCAGAAGGGCCTACTGACAGGGTTCCCTGGGGCAGAGCAGTTCAGAAGTGAGGGATACCTGCAATGTCACCCTGTCCAAGCCCCTGAGTTCACAGATGGCGGAAAAAGGCTCAGAGCCCTGAGGGCACGCTCAGCTGAGCAGTGCAGTCCAGGTTAGAACTCCAATGCCCTCCCTCCTCAGACAATGTTGAATGTCCAGTCCCACCCAATCAAAGGTCTGGATGTACCCAGCCTTTCAGGCCTCAGACTATTTCCAAGTTACTGCTTAACTCTGAAAGTTTCCTCTGACCACCACAAAGTCAGCAGCACAGAAAGTCTGCTTAATATACAGGCCACCTTTTCAACTACATGGTTGACAATCCAGAGAATTAGAATTAATATTAATACTTACTTCTGAAAACCACTTAGAAAAGAGGCTGTGGCTGTTTATTTCAATTAATTGACCATACCGGTACCTAGGATGATAAAAAAAAGAGTCAAGACAATTACTTTACAAATTAGTCCTCTGGTGCCACCCCAGTGGCAGCACTTTTACTCATTAAATACATCTCTCAGCTGCCCAGCGTGGTGAGCATTACTAACTTAAGTCATTATAATTACTGACAAAGAATCAAGGTACCTAAGCAATCTGCATAATAAATAAGTATGAAAATTCTAAAAGAATGCAACCAACAGTTCTGGTTGAAGCAAATCAAGTTTTTCAAACTGAATATCTTCATTAGAATTAAAACAAAAGTAAAATCCCTCTCATTTTTAATCTACCTGTAATTTATATTTATGTTTAAAAAGTACTACTGGTATTAATATGGCAAACAAATGTAAACAAGCTCAGAAGTTTTGGCTGAAGCTGAATATTTTTTTCTCCTTCCACAAAACCTTAAAGACTGTGACAATTTGTTTTCCAGCACACAGTCTAGCACCCTGGATGCTCAAATGGCAAAAAGTGAACCTTAACACACTAAGTGAATGACATCCAGCACTAATACTCCAGGCACTCAAGAGGCAGCTGAGAGGTCTGAATGCACTTAGTTCTGACTAGAATCACACAGGAAACCAGACTGAGGAAGGACAGAAGCTGACTTCTAGGTCCTCTCCAGTTTCTTTCATGTTGAAAGTCCACAGAAGGAAAAAAATTACTTTCAAAAAGTATCACTGCCTTTCCATTTAAAAAAGAGAAAAAGGCCATTTAGCAATTCTGTTCACAAAAGAGGGGAGAAGGAAGACAAACAATGTAACAAAATAAAGACTGGGTTGAATATTAAACAAAGTTATATATTATTTTCAGATCACTGTATAAATAGTCATACATCACTTGCTTAATGATGGGGGTACATTCTGAGAAATGCATGATCAGGGGATTTTGCCATTGTGAGAGCATCACAGAAGCACTTACACAGACCTGGGCACACAGCCCACTGCACACCTAGACTCTATGGTACAGCCTGGTGCTCTGGCTACCAACCTGTACAGCCTGTTACCGTGCAAAACAACAGAAGGTTAAATCAAGCACAAGGCAAAAGGACGCAATCGAGACTCGGGTAAACAAGAGTATGAGCCAGCAACACACGGCACACAGTTTTACAGCAAACATTTTTCACAGTAGAAAGTACACTGTAAAATAATAAAAAGTATGCATAGTAAATACATAAACTAGTAACAGTTGTTTATTATCATTATCAAGTATTATGTACTGTACGTAACTGTATGCACTATACTTTTATACAACCGGCAGCTCAGTGGGTTTGTTTACACCAGCATGAGCACAAACATGTGAGTAATGCATTGTGCCCTGACAGTTATGATGGCTACAATGTCACTAGGCAATAGAAAATTTTCAGCTCCATTATAATCTTATGGGATCGCCATCATATATGCGGTCCGTTGTTAACTAAAATGTAGTTATGTGATGCATGACTGTACTAGAAAAACTTCTATTTCTTGTAATAACATTTTCACTCTCTGATGTTTTAGGAAACTGCCCTTAGTTATCTTTAAAACATAGGTGCATTTCAACATGTCAAGACAAAGGCCAAGTTCCTAAGCATAAAATAAAGGGTTGAAATAAAGCATTTTCCCTATGTAAAGATACTTACAAGATATTTTGAAAAGAAAGTAGACATTTAAAAGTAAATCTCTTAGGATTTCATTTTCTAAAGCCAAATGGGAGTAACAGGTACCAGATTTACCCTCTGCCTTCACCAATTAGAAAACTGGACAGAATAAATGAAACATCTATGAAGGGCACTGGACAACAAGGCAACAGAGGACTGTGACCTGACAGAAGGAAAATAAAGTAAGTGCTACAATCACCCAGCTCTCATCCTGGAGCACCTGGAGAGGACACAGGACGAGCACCACCATTGTGCTGAATTAAGGAGACAGAGGCCAGAGTTCAAAGAGCCTGAGGCAGCAAATAGCTGCAGAGCAAGACCCAGCCAGGAGGAAAATTTTCAGGAATAAAGCACCAGAAATCACCCTGGGGTCCCTCTAAATCTTTAGAACTTGGATATCTATGAGCAGGAAAATCCATGAGGCTCTACAGATTTGTGAGCTAAATGGTTCCCGGTGCTCACACAGACTGGGTGTATTCAAGTTCTCAAAAGCCAAAGCGGAGAATACTTGTTACTCATTCAAGGTGTTCAACTGAGGCCACAGGAAGAGCCTGCTTGAGAATTAAAACTAGACTACATCTAGACCCCTCTCTAAAAAAGCTTAAAAACAAACCTCAAAAGGATCACAATAAATCATGAGTAACTGAAATGCCTACCAGAACAAGGCCCAACAGTCTTTAGAGAACCCAGACACTTCAAATCATAATGTCTGATTCAAACAAATTACCTGACATGCCAAGAGCATAAAATGTGACCTGTAACCAGAAGAAAAACCAGTCACTAGAAAGACTCAGAAATAAGAATGATTATGGATTTAGTAAACAAGAACATTGAAACAGCTATTGTATACTTGCTCAAGGATTTCAACAGAACATAGTAAGTGAAAAGTACGAAAGGAACCAAATGGAACCTCAGAGAAAAAAATTCACTGTGAGATATGAAAATTTCACTGAATAGAGTTAAAAGTAAATTAGATTCTGCAGAAATTGTCCAAAGTGAAACACAGACAGAAAAATTTTTAAACCTGAAAAAACAAAAAAGAATATCAGTGATCTGTGGGACAATATCACACAGTCTAACATGCAAATTAACGGACTCCCAGAAAAGGGGTGGGATGGGGGAGTGGGGAGGAAACTTAGTTGAGAAAATGATGGCCAACTACTTTCCAAATGTGATGAAACCATAAACCCAAAAACAGACAGAACTCAAGGAGAAACAGACAAATTCACCATTAGAGGCTTGGCCATTCCTTTGCAGTAAGTGACAGAACAGCAGACCAAACAATCAGCAGGGGCATCAAGTACCCTAAGCTGACATCCATGAAATATTCCACCCAACAAGAACAGAAACATGTTCTTTGAAGTACACATGGAACAGTCAGCAGGACAGACCATGTATTGGTCATTAAGCAAGTCTCCATAAATTTAAAAAGACTGAAATCATAACTCTATGTTGAATACAGAAAGTTAATTTATAAAGAAAGAGAGGGACCTGCTATTCATGTAAATTATTAAAAAATAAAGACAGAATAAAATAAAATAAAATAAAATAAAATAAAATAAAGACAGCTTCTGCGATTATAAAGGAAATGCAGGTAATCCCATTCCTGCTACTCTCCTCTCAAATCACCAGTTACCTGCTTGAAAGTCGAATGGTCAATTTCTGGGCCAGGGCTCTACACAGGGATGTTTTTCCAGTTCCCGGAGGACCTGTAACAAAATTTAAGCAAATGAGTGTATAAGCCAGTGCTGTAACAAATTTCTCAAAACAATAGCAGTTGCATTTTCTACAGAATACAAAATTAGAAGCAGAGTCTCCAATATTACGAATGCTATTACAAGCACTGCTTGTTAACTCACAAAGAAGTCTGCTAGCAGAGCAAGTGCCATAAAATATTACCAACACAATTTAAAAGTCTTTCTTCCAAATCTGAATTTAACTTGTGCTTCCTTAGCTTCCACTGCCCCTGACACAAACCCTGCTTTTGGGCCCAGGGACTTGATCAGCTCTCTGCGCATGCACTGCATTTCCTGTTCTATGTCTTCGCTGACATCCTCCTTGCCCCATGTCCTCTATGAAATTCACCTATTAATGCACCTTTCGAAGGTAAAACCCACCTTTCTTGCTAATCATCAGGACTCTTAAGCACCGAAGTTTGCTGTATCTGCAGCCCATAGCAGCACCGTCTTTCACTATGGCTATTTCTACATGGGCCTGCACCCCATACTAAACCAGAGGGTGAAGGCGAGGATCCTTGATTGTACAGCTTCTTGGTCTGTGTGTCACCTAGCATGCCTTGCAGAAGTCCTGAGGTGACCAATGTAGAACAACAAATGCATCTAATAGAAAATGCTGACAGGTTCAACTGATTTTCTGTAAGCATTTTCAATAATAAAAAAGAAAATGAAAAAATAATTGAAATACCTATTGATTGCCTACCCTGATCCTGGTATCAGTATAATGTGCTGAGGTATCTGCTATTTAAAAGACATAACTTTTTAAAAGGGGTATTCAAGCATACAATCTTAACTGGTATAAAGAGGCTGGCTTCTCTGAACTCCCTCCTCACTATAATTTGTGTATCCTAGCTTTCTTTCCATCCAGTGTTAAGAAAAATAGCTATTATCTTTCTCTGAGAAGCAGACAGAATTTCTGTAAAGATGGTTTTGCAGTTTACTACTCACAAAGCAAAGCTCTAAGAATGCTAAAAAGAAATTCGAGGCAATTTCTTTTCCAAGGAGTATATGATCAGTTGGGGAAATAAGAGTTGGTTGAAAAGTTTAATAATAATATAAAAGGTCACAAGGCAGTAACTGGGTGGCTGCCAAACCAAGGGTCAAGCAACAAATGCCCAGAGTAATGTAAGCTGCATAGGCTTCACAGAGAAGAAGCATTCTAGGACAACTCTGGCTCCACCAGAATAAAACTGCTGTAACTCCTCGCAGAAGGACAAAGGTACAAGTAAAGTCTGACATCACGCAGTCTATCTTGTCAAACGCAATCCCGCATGCTTTACCGTGAAGCAGCACCACACGGTTCCAGGTGATGAGATTGCTGTCAACATTCCTGTCTGAAAACAGTAACGCTGTCATCACATAATCGAGGAGCTGAGTGAAGAAAGGAAAAATGCAGATAAAGGAGCTAACAGGCAAGGATTCCCATTATATGTGCTCCTACATGAACAGCAGGGAGAGGAGCAAGGCAGACCTCTAGAGACTGCCACAATCAAACACTTCTTGAATACATCACAAGCTTTCACTTTAAAAGATAACTTAGAAGGGGACAACTGCCGGCTATTACTGGCTATTACTATTACAAGCATAAAGGACAAACACAGACACTTTTATTTAGAACGCCAACATCACACAAAATAACTAAGGGACTTGTCAAGCAGGAGTAAGCTCCTTCCTCTGGGCTGACACAGCAGTAGGCAAGCACACGGCACACTCACTAAAATATACAACAGCCAGAATTTCCTTCTCTCACTGTGGCTGCCAAGAGCAGCCTGGGGGAATGGGATACAGGCTTTTGGTGTCCCTCACAGTGTGCAGAAGGACCCTTCCCCTTGAAGGGGGTTCAGATGTGCTGGTAATTGCTCTGTCTGCTCTGTGGCACTGTCCCCTCAGCCCCCACAGGTTCCTAAGAGTGAAAACCAACCGAAGCTGTCTTCACATTCAGCACCCTCCCTCTTCCCCGTCAGGGGATGCTCCCGAGACTGACTCCACTTGGGAGCAATCTCAGAGGACGGGCATCCAGGACACTGGCTGTGGGCAGGCAGTGGCTCCCAAAAGCCCTTTTGAGTTAAAAGAGCTGAGGTGTTGGAGAGCAACACAATGATGATTCTATTTCAAATAACGGGGCCTTTTGCAGGGGAAAAGTGCAACTTACGTGAGATTTGACTTCCACATCATACACCAGGCTGTCCCACAGCCCATGGAATTCAGCTGTGACAAAGTAAAACAAATATTTAACTTTAGGAAAACAAGCATTACACCTACCAGGTAGATCTGCCCTGAGCCATGATGCTGTCTCCTGCCCCACACATGGTATGCTAAGATTCTGATTACAGGGAAGTTGTATTTTAAAAAATTTTCTTAATATGTAAAACAAATGCCGATTATGTAGGACTACTGATAATTAACTGAGTAAGAGTTACTTCTTGTTATGTCATTATGCACAGTCATCTTTTGTGGACCTAAGCTTTACACAGCACAGTGAATCCAACATTTGGGCAAGGCAAACCAGCGGGTCTAGCCTAGCCATTAACACATCAGGCATAAAACCTGATGACTGAGTTAACCCCAGGATTCTGCCTACAAGAACACATTGGGAAGTCCATGAACAAGCATCGAGACAGGAAGAGAAAGGAGTGGTCCAGCAGGACTGACCAACTGGGCAGGAAAGAAGAGTTTGGTCACATTCTTGATGAACACTGCCTGTGAGGGACCAGTCCAAAGGAATTCTCTACTTCCCTCTTTTGTGATATACTTTCCATTTCTTAAGATATAAAATATCCTAAAATCCTACAAAACAAGTGAACAAAAATCTCTTTGGTTAACTGACTTGGCAAGCCTAGGGTGTGTGCCATCCTCTGACCTTGTGGACCCAGCATGCTCCACCTACTGTTACTATCACATTGTACCTGCGGGCAGAACCCAATGATTTGCTGCAATTATATTTTCTGTCTCTTCTTCCAAATTTTCACTCGTGGGGCCATCTTCATTCAGGTGGAAGATGTGAAGTGCAATAGTGCACACACTCAAATCGATGGGCTGTGATGAGAAGGAAAATCAAATAAACCTACACAAATGGAAAAATCGCTCGCTTTTGAATTCTAATGTCCAATTTTAATCTTAAAGTCCAAAAATAAAGATTGAAGGTGCAGTATGTTAAAAACTAGTTCTTAATTTACATGAAAAGGCTATTAACTTATTTTAGACTTAGAATTAGCTCTTTTAAACATGTTTATCCTTCCTTTCCCTTTTGGGGTATAACATCTATTTGAAAAAACAAGTTTTTTGTTCTTATAATTATAAAAGTAGCACATCCTTGTTGAAAAACTGCAATTATAAAATGAAGAATGTCTAAGTCCCCTACATCCAACCTCATAGATGTTAGTGTATAACACATCCACACATATCTGACCCCAAATTGATTCTATCCCAGCTTTCTAACCATGCCTTTCTAGAACTTAGAGGTATTGTACGTCAGTAGATAGAAATCTCATTCTTTTTCATGGTTATATCATAACTGGTATGAATGTGTCAGATATTTAACCACTCTCTGATGGACAGTTAAAATATTTCAAGTTGTTAGTGTTTATTAGCAATGATATTTGTTCATATATCTCTACAAAATTACATAATTATCTGTTAAGATAAATTCCTTGAGGTGAATCTGCAGTCGAAGATGAGAACATTAAAATGTTTAGTGATTAGCACCTATGTCCTCCAGTTAGGCTATGCTAACTGTCCCTCCACAACAGTGTTGGAAAGCTCTCCAGTTCCCCTTAGGCTGACCAAAATCGAGTACAATGGCATTAGATCTCAGTGTGGATAAATCTCCAACAATGTCACAAATGATAGCCCTAATATAAGAATGAAGAGGTTGCCCAGCCGGTGTGGCTCAGCGGTTGAGCATCAACCTATGATCCAGTAGACTGAGGTTCAATTCCTGGTCAGAGCACATGCCTGGGTTGTGGGCCCGATCACCACTGGGGGGTGTGCAGGACTTTCGACTGATCAGTGACTCTCTCATCATTGATGTTTCTAGCTCTCTCTCTCCCTCTTCCTTCCTCTCTCTGAAATCAATAAAAAAAAGGAATGAAGAGGTCCACCACATAAGTGTTATTTTAGTGCCGTACTAATTCTTCCAAATTGATTCTTTATAAGACAGAAACTGTGGAGGTATCAGTGACTCATCCTCCTGAGGTTTGTTTGAGTAAAAACAAACTTTGGCTTGTTTTTACACTGGTGATAGAACTGCCCCAACACATTCACACTGTTATACAAAGCTCCTTTTAGCTCCCGCACACGAACTCTACAAGATGGTGGGTAAGGCAGTTCATATGCTGGACTAGATGAAGAGATTCAAGAAGGCAAGCCCATTTCCTCATCTCTGTTGACCCCAGACATCCTATGGTCCCAACACGTGCTGAGCACTCCATAAATTTTGTTGACTGAATAAGAGAGGAGGCACACAGGCTTCATCGGTGTAGTCCACTACTCTATGGTGCTTCATTCTAATTCCTGGTTTCCAATCTCTCCCCAACTGTACTGATAGCATGCTGGCACTGGGCGACATCTGCTCCCAGCACCTGGCTCCTGCCAGAGCCAGTACCTGTTTGATCATCAAACCAACAGGTAAGCAGAGCAAACCAGTTTCTGACACACACTATCAAAGCAGCAAGCAGACATTCATGGCACCAACTTTCTATTCAGCTAAGGGTTGACTGTTTCTTGGCACAGGGAAATTAGTAACTTACCTGTGGGTCTTTAACCTGTAATTCTGTGTCAACAATAGACACAGATTGCACATTTCTGGTCAGAAAAGGTTCATCAAACTCAGTCCACGTGTAATCACCAAACACAATATTATGTCTGTTAAGTAGCTTTCTAACACTCAGCTTTATATCTTCTTTTTTTGCCGTGCTGGACAGACAAACAAAACACAAAGATCAGTTCTAAGTTAAAAAACCCAAGATTTTAACAACATTAAAAAAGAAGAAATCAGAACATGCACAAGAAAGTGCAGTAATTAGGAGTACAGGAGGGCGTGGGCCTGTCCTTTGCCTGCTCACTGCGTGACCCGGGGAGCAGCCAGAGGACTTGGTGCCTCAGCTCTCCATCAGATAAAGGGGCAGCAGCAAGTTTTTGCTACACTGTATTTCAGTCAATACATTTAAAGTGTTTAGGACAATGCCTAGCACATAGTGAGCACTCAATAAATGTTGGCTATTACTATTATTAGTGAAAGAAGAAAACCCCACAGCTGTGGGGCCAGGTCAAGAGTTTTCATTTTAACAAGTGCCCAAGGCCTGGCATTCACACTGAGAAAACGTAACACTTCCGGCTTGGCATTCAAGGCTCCACTCAGCCCACCTTGCCACCTGACGGCCAGGCTGACTGGTTCTGAGTCCACACCAAGGTGTGCGATCACTATGATGTGCCTCCTTACACGAAAGGGCCTGAGAAATGCTAGCTCCAATGACAACATCTACATTTCCCTTAGAACTGAGAGCTCTGAGTATCTGGCCGGTCCCAACTTCCAGCTTTCCCGGGAGGCGCCCGGCTGGGCTCTGCGTGGGTCCCGTTCAGGGTCAGGCCAGATGGGTCAGGTCCGTGTCCGGCGCAGTGGGATCCAGTCGGGGTCTGGACCAAGTGTTATCTGTAGGGGCCACGCCGGGGCCGAATCCGCTCAGGCGGGCCCTGGTCCTATCGGGTCCGGTCGGACCGGCTCACCTGCCGCTTCGCTGATGCACCTCCACATGGACGGTCGGCGTCTCGGCCACACAAGGCAGCGCCTGCTTCAGGTCGCCCACGGCCTGGTCCATAGCACCGCCGCCGCTGCCAGGAGCAGCAGGTACCAGGCCCGAGCGTGGCCGCCGCCTGACGCCGGGCGCCACCACCACCTCCACGTCCACCTCAGTCACAGCTGCCAAAAAGCCTGCTGGCCCTGCCCGCACTTTGAATCTGCCGCGCTCCGAGTGCCGTCCCCTAACCCGGAAGCACTCTGGCCGGGCGAGCGGGGGGGGGTGTACTTCCGGCCGCGGGGTCGACTTCCGGCTGGGTCCCTGGACCTCCCCCGGGTGAGGGGAGCACCAAGCCGGGGCTGCAGGGGCGGTGGCCACGCTTGGGCCGCGCTCGCTGCTGCCCTCGGCCCGCGCCTCGCCCCTGCCACCGCCATGGGCAAGAAGCACAAGAAGCACAAGACTGAGTGGCGCTCGTCGTACGAGGGTGAGGCGGCGGGCGCGCTTTGTGACGC